AATTGCTTTTACGTATTTCCGGTATTACGTAAATACCGGCTACATAAAAACACGTCCCAATGTAAAATTTTCATTGTACCTGAAGAAGGCTGGTTCGGCCAGCCGAAATATAGTACACCGTCAAAAAATCATCCTACGTTGTGTCGGTTTTTGCTTTTGTATTCTTCATTTGATATGTAGAGCCGATTAGATCACTATTGATCCAACGTATGCCGGCAGGATCATCGTTCCGGTTGCTTGCTTAAACATTTTCTAGTTTTTGAAGTCAAAATAGCGGTAAGGACCTTCTCTTAGTGTTCTCAGGAACTGAATTATCCATTTACTTCTAAAGTTTCATCCAAAACTTCAGAAAGACGAAAAAAACGCCGCATTCTATAGACGACTGACAGCAACTGCAATAAAATTATTGGCTTGAGATTTCTATTTAAACGATAGAGTGTTTTTGTCGAGGAACTATCGGCTGATAGTTGCCCTGCGGAAATTTGATGTTCTTAAAACAAATATTTGCCCGTGAAGCGAAGCTTCGAGGGTAAATATGCTAGTTTTAAGAATATCAAATTTCCAAGGGGCAACTGTCAGACCGATAGTTCCGAGGCATAAACACACTGGGTGCTTTCCATTATACCAAAGATTCCTGAAATTTCGGTCGGATTTCAAATGGAAAGGTCCGTTTCGGTTTCTTCCGACCGGAATACTTGGGATGACCTCTTGAGGTGGTCCATTTATTTCAGTTGGAATATTCCGACCGAAATTCGCCGTTCCATTTTTGACAAACCGGTTCTTTGCCCTAATTAGGAAATTCGGAAAAGGAATAAAAAATGGCAAGAGCCATTCCTATTGGTTGGCCCGGTTTAATCGGAAAATGTTGTTCCATTTTCCTCGGGTATTCCCACTGATCTCTGACCGGTCGGTTTGGCATAATGGAAAGCACCTATGAACACTCTATTGTCTTTATTGTTCACCACTAAATTTTCTTCCGCGCGCCAGTTCAAAAATCATATTGAATTATTTTCAACTTTTTTAGAGGAAAGCCGTGAAAGCCAAATGAAAAATTTTAAAAAGAAAACAAACAAAAACCCTCTTAATACAAATTCAATTGTTTATTTTCTATAAGCCCGCTTGTTTACAGAAATATTTTCACGGACGAGTGCAGTATAAAAGAACAAGTGGATGAAGAACTCTCAGGCCGAAATTTGGTCAAAAGAGTACCATATACATAAGAACACATTCGGCCTGAAAGATGAAAATTGTTCTTATATCAAAAAAATTGGCTGCCAGTTAGATTAGAATAACCTACTAGGGTACAGTACTAGGCACAGTACTGAGTAGATCAATATATGTGCTATACATTAATTACTTCAAATAACGGTTTCCAAGTGCTCCTCGACGTATTATTAATTGCGTCTTAGAAAGATCGCTCGGATTGAAATGTCATTTGAAATAAGTGAAGTTGTGTGCGCGCGCTCATCAGTTTTTTCAATAATTTCAAGATTTTTAAAGTCAAGAAACCGTTAATGTTTTTCTTTTAGTTCTCTCAGGAATCAATTTACCCATTTGCATCAAAATGTCCCTTCAGAACTTTATTAAAACGAAAAAAGACATCGCCTTTTCGTAGACGACCTCCGGCCACTGCACTCTAATGGCTGATAGTATACGAGTAGCTCAGCCAATCAGATTGCGGCATTTGCATTAGTATACTTGTAGAATTCTACTTAGTATAAATCTACTCATGTTCTATCACGAATTCCGTTCTCTGATTGGCTACGTTACTTATCTCTTATGTGATATATTGCCTGATTTCAAGCCGAAAAGGACTAGGTGCGAGTCTACAAATTACAGGGACTAGCAGCTATTGATCCACATAGTCGTAAAGTGCACACCAAGCTTAACAAAATCCCCAAGTTTGGTGCAAATAGACCCAATAGTAAGCAAGATACAACCATCTGAAAACATCAAAATTTACAAAAATATGTATGGCCATCCAGACGCTGTGTCCGGATGACCAAATAATTCTGTGTAATTTTGGCGTTTTTAAATGGCTGTATCTCAGTCAAAACTAGCCTGATTAACACTAAACTTGGGGATTTTGTGAATCTCGGTGTGTTCTTTCTGACTACGTGGATCAATAGTTGTTAATCCCATAATTTACAGATTCGTACCTAGTCCTTTTCGGCTTGAAATCAGGCAATAGTGAGTAGCGTGGCAGGGTGCGTTTTCTAGTTGTCTGTAAAGAGGATTTAGATAGAGTTTTGAACGACTAGGAGATTTATACTAAAACAATTAGAATATTCGCTCTCGATTTCTATGCGTGATATTTGACTCGGGCTGCATGTCCTCTTACACCACGTACCTAGTGTAATGTTCCGACTGGTTCCGAGCGCTTGCACCGAAGAAGAACGGCCAGACGAACGGCATACTTTTCGCCCCCGACCACGTGACCAAAAAACGATTGAAGTTGTGGTCTTCGTTTCTTTCCGTTTAGTTCAAATGGCTAATTCTGTGGCTTCTGCAGTCGCCATTGTAGTTGTTGTGGCAGGATATCTTTACTACCGGAACATGGCAAGTCAAGATCAACGTATTCAAGCAGTTTTGGACGGACTGAAATCTTTGGAACAGGAAAATCCAGTTGTTGGGTCACCTAAAGTGGCTACCTGTTTTGAAGCAACTATGGATTATTTCGTTGACTCTGTGGGGTTGTTAGAAGCACTGAAACTTGAACCTCCCCGGGAAGCAATACCTCATGACGTTGTGAAAACCGAAAAGGAACTTCTGGAAACATTTGCTTTCTTTTTCAATCACAGCGCAGCTTCATCGTAAGTATCATATGTATAAAGCTTAGTAAGCTTGTCTCCGCAACTTGTAGCACAGGCTGACCACCCTATGTGTTCATGGTTAATAATTGTTTATATGGAACGAACAGAATCTATGAGGGTTATGAAAAAAGCTCTGAAAATTGCATATCTAAATTACATCTCGGTTTGAACATCCCAATAAAGTTAAGTGAAAGGTTAATTGAGTTGTGTGGTGTTTTTTTGCCTTCCTGGGCCATCTGAAGCGTTTTTTTTTTTATGAAATTACTTTTGGTCGGATACCAGTAAGACAAGAGAGGGAGACAAGGCTTGCAATTTGGCGCCTGCCAGCCGCGACCTCCTCCACTTCAAACTGGAATTAACGCCAAAATACTGAAAATCTCACCTGAATGGTGATGGTTGTTGATTGATGAGATTTTTCTCTATCTCTTCACTGAATGTGAGCTTCATCCCTCAAACATTTTTCGAGAAAATAGATGCTGAAATCACGAAAACAGCTTTCTCAATATGATTGGTGCCAAACTCAGCGACCAAAGGAATTCAAGGCATGCACACCGTTTCAAATCTACCAATCAGCGACTGGCATTGCGTTAGGCTGCTGTAACTCTTTCTGGAATCCGACCAAAAGTAATTTTGTATAAAAACGCTTCAGACGACCCAGGAAGGCGAAAAACAACCACACTTGAGTCGATTAACGTTTCATTTAACTTTATTGGGAGATTCAGACCGAGATGTAATTTAGATATGCAATTTTCAGATTCTGTTCGTTTCATATAAACAATTATTAACTACAAACACATAGGGTGGTCTGCCTGTGCTTGTAGCTATAAATTACTAAGGGTATGTTACTTCTAGTGAGTTATGCATTAGTCAATGAAAATCCTGGCACTCCGATCCTGCGACCCCGTGTACATAGCTGGGAATTTAATAAACATTTACCGAGTGTTAAAAGACGGCTTATTACCCGCCCCCGTAGTTAAGAGGTCTATTAGGTTACCGTATACCTTCAGATCAGCAATTTTCTTCAAAATTTGGATTTTTGATTCAAAGTAATGGTCAAAGAGTAATCTCTAATTTCTGAAAAAAATAATTGAAAAAGACGAAATATTGGTGGAGAAATGGAGGTTTTGTGTTATGGCCAGAAGTAAAAGTTTCCCTCTTGATTGACAGCCATACAATGTGTATGCAATCAACCAAGACGACTTTTGTGGGAATATATATGGCTTATACAGATGTCATGAACTGGCTACGCAGTTGATCAGCATTGTTGTTCTCACTGATTACCAGGCATTTTTCGTATTAGGTGTAATTCTATCAAGTTTATATAAGTAACCATGGACCACGGAAAACTCCTTGGACCAGTTTGAAAAAGTGAAAATAGCGAAGAACGAGTGAAAGTGCATCAATGAGTGAAGAAGCAAAAGTTGGCCTCGGGGATGAAAGCTATCATATCAAGCAGGCAAAAAAATCGAGTTCAGAAAGGAGATTTAGGTTGTGGAAAAAAAATTGGGGAACTTGACAGCGATAACAGCGATGTTGAAAGAGACTCTTCTGATGAGTCTGATACTGACGAATCATTGGACTTATTGGAATATTATCCAGTGTTTCCGCTAGAGTGCGCCATTGCTGGAATCCCACGTTACAATCAGAGATGACCCCCAGAAAAACGAAAAAGGACCAATTTGACCCTTTTGTTTTACAAGACTGCAGGCTTAACACAGGCATAATATTTCAAAAGCCATCCCAGGGCTCGAAATTGTGATCGATATGGGCGCCAATGCAACTAACATTTCATCCTTGGCGACCAAAAATTCTGGTTTAGTCACCATAATACGGCATAATGGCGACTACATTTCTCTGTGTTGACGATCAATAATGGTTATTTTCTCACACATTATGCCCTTCTAGAAAATCATATTGAAAGATCTCTAAAACATTCAACATAAGAAAAGAAGTCAATCCGCCCTTTTGCTTTGCGGTATTGATTCTTCTCACATCGTAAAACTTCCAAATGGCTGACCGTGTTTGAAATTGCCCTATAATGCATTGCAAACCCTTGATCATGGACTGCGTTATGTATGCCTAAGGATTGTTCTCTTGTAATGCACGGATCCTTCATACTAGTATCTGATTCCAAAGAAACTTTATTGAGTAGAAATGTTTCAAAAAGCACTTACTGTTAAATTTTATCATAGATCCTAATAAACTGCTTTATTTTCCTTGGTATCCTGATGCATTTTTTTCCTTCTGTAGCTTATAATTTATTGGTCCCTTTCCTAAAACATAGGCATGCAAGGCGTGCAAGAGTTGGTTTTTTTGTGAACTATAAGTCTCGGAGATAAGAGCATTCATGGAACTGTTCACAGTAATGATTTGGTTGATTTGACAAGTTTTTTTGGTTGCGATGTACAGCAGGAAAGAAACTGAGAGTTTATGATGTAAGATAACTAAATAGTAAGCCATAAAATGTTTGACTGAACAAACTACAGTAATCTGACAC